CGACCGGTCGAGGCAAAGGTGGTGTCGATCGAGCCGTGGCGACCGGTCGAGGCAACGTGCAAGTGTAAACTGCTCCATGCAGGACAGGCATGCAAATGACAATTCAAAGCATGCATTCATGCTCGATAACAAACCATACTCGTGTTAACGATCTCACATAGGACACCTAAGATAAATCATGTACACTTGAGAAACATATCTCACGAGTGTAAATCAACCAGCAAACATACCAAGTAAATCATCCCACAAACAACACAAGGTAAAGCAAGTAACATTCACATGCGAAAGCCAACACCAAAGTCACGATATTCACCCCAACAAACAACAAGAATAGATCTCGAAACCCACTACAAGTCCAAGATTTAGGAAGAAAATGAGCGTAAGAAATAAGAATAACGCACTTGGAATAACTCTTAATTTGCTGTAAACATGCAGCATAAAATAATGACGACCCCAAATCAGATCCACAACAAAACTACAAGAAAGATCTAGAAATGTAACCTCAGCACTTAAACTATTGACTCAATCATCTGAGAATGGGTCTAGATAAATCCATAAAATTTGTGTGCTGCATATGTAAATTTCCCAAAATAATAATAATAACAATAATAAATTTAGTGGCTACAGATAATAGATCCAAGAACAAGAAAAAAAAAAAAAAAAAAAAAAAAAAAACGCAGCATTACATAGATGATAGATCCAAAATTGGGAAGCAAATGGGAACAGCGGCTTCGGAGGGCGAGAGCTAGGCCATCATGCCTTTTTTCTTTTTGGTCCACCAGCCAGAAAGGTATTATTAGTTTACTCCATAAAAAAACAATGAATTTCACATTAAAAAGTAATTAACACTAATAAATATAAAATTAGTATGTCAGATATGTAAATATATAAGAATTGAGTTGCACGTATATTAATGCCCTAATTACTTCTAAAGTTAATTATTAAAAGCAATAATGAAGTTATAATTATTAATTCAATGTCTGGCAAAATGTGTGCACAGAAATCTAAAAATCAAAATTTGTAACACGACAATAAGTCTAATTCTTATGTGCATTGTGAAATAGGTACACCATGATCACCATCTTATTAAAATAAAATCTGGTCGATCTTGTAATTAGACATATCTAAACATTCTGTTTCTAGCTCTGTTCTGCCAAGCGGTACATAAGGCCAAAAAGTTGAGCATTCAAACCTCATATAGTAGACAAATGTTCAAGGAGTGATATATAAGAACAGACTTCTATAATTAACTTTAATGAAATTTTATTGTTTTAGGAGGGGCAACACAAATTAACTATTAATGTAAAATGTCTTGGTGGGTTATCCCCCTCTTAGATGTTATCGATAAGTTTCCTTTGATCCCTACATGTAAATACATGTAACTGATGTAATTAATTTACAAACAATGAAATTGAGCATAGGCTCCCAATGCTTCAAATAATAATAATAATAATAATAATAATGATAATATATAACAATAATGATAATAAACCAAAGTTAAGAAAAAAAAAAGAAATTTACATAATTACACCTCGATTGTACAACACAAGCTGGTGTGGAGGTTGACTATAGAATAGTGTTGATGTGAAGAGCTTTTACAAGCGCAGTAGCCATTTGCTTGACCAGAACCTGCCCTCCAGAGCGCTGCCCATTTCTGCGCTCTTCGATCAAATTCTGCAACTTTTGTGGGAGATCATTTTCCACTATCAGCTGCTTGGGTCTTGGGTGATGCTCATAAACAGCCTTCACAACCAGACACCATAAAACTCTATTATATTAAGCTCCCGTAACAATATTATATTTACAAAGTAATGGCTGTGAATTGTAATTGATAAACCAACCTTAATTAATTTTAGAAGATTAAGTCGAGCAATAGCATCATGATGGTCCAGTCTTGAAATGAGAAGCGTAGCCAAACCGTTGGTTGCCATTGCAGTATTTATCCGCGCTGATTTCCTGTAAAAAAAGAAGATGTAGGGGGTATGTATGGAAATGCCCCAAATTTAAGGAAGATTTTACATTCATACCACTTAAATCCTATGTTTTACATATCTAACACCTAAACTTTTAAAATTTACATACATGTCAATTACCTATGCCTAAAAAGGTATATTTCACTTGTTAAAAGTTGAAGCATTGATATTTTTAATGTGATCTAAAAAGAGAAAAGTGTCAAAAATATTCCCCTGAAATATATAAAAAAATCCAACTTAGTCCTCAGATTTTTTTTAATATGGACTGAAATAATCCCAATGGAAGAGCCCGAGAACTAATTTTAAAATTTTAGAATGAGACTAAAATACCCCCATGTAAACAATAAGAGGAACATGTTGACACTTGATATCAAAGATTTGGGTGGCATAAAAATAAAAATAAATTATACATAATAGATATGTAAACGCATACGAATTAGGTGGCATGCATCTAAAAGAAAGAAAGCCACATACGTAATAATCTTCAAGAAAGGCTCTAATATGTTGATGAAATATTGTTCCGGACAGTTCCGGAAGAACTTAACTAACTTCTGGATGGCCTCTTTCCTTAATAGAGCCTGTTCAACCTTCTTGTGGTCGTTGTCATGGGCCAAGCAGACCGCAAGAGAATCTAATGCGGTAACAGCCCATGCTTCGTCTTCCAAGAGATTCAGGTACACATCTAATCCGCCATGAATCCTCACCTGTTCCCTGGAGTTTCGTGAGGCGTGAGCCATGTCGCAGAGGAGTGGCAATGCACTGTGTTTTAGTGACGAATCGGACATAATAAAGTTCATTAAATGAGGAATAATGCCATTCTCCGCTGCTTGTTCCTGTCTCCTCTTGTTTATCTTGCAAAGGTTGAATAGTGTATTGAGGACCTGGAATTTTATCTCCATTTGTGTAACTTCATTATGCCAATAATCACTCATGCAAATAATATACACACACGCACACTAAAATGTTGATAAACAAAATATATTTCCCTGGAAATTTGAGAGCTTACTTCAATGTGTATTTGAGAGACAAAAGGGCCATCATGAAGTTCGAGGTTAGGAATCAAATGTTTGATTGCATCTGCACGCTGAAGGTACTCCAAACAATTTGGATCACCCGAAAGATGATTGACACACTTAAGGATCTGAAAATTGAGGGTATTATAAAAAAAAAAGGAAATTTAAATATTTAGCAGGCAAATCTTTTGTATTTAAATATCTCACACCTAAACATTCATATTTCCATACATGGAACTTTGATTCTTTAAACTTATGCATGAAAAAGTGTAGTTCACTTTTAAAAAGTAACAATAGTGCTATTTTTTATGTGATATTAAATATTTAAGAGCTATGCCTGCAAATATGAAAGTTTAGGTGTGAGATATGTAGATAAATGTAAATTTTAAAAAAAATGCATGCAAGAGATCAGTAGTAAATAACAATGAACTGCTAGCTTATCATGATCAAGGACTTCAAACTCACCTTAAGAAGAATAGGTGGCTCTATCTTGTTGAACATTTGGAAAAGACGAGTAAGCAAGCTTTGGCTACACATGTAGGATTTTACTGAAGAATCAGCTTGGGCAAATTCAAATAAGAGATCTGCTACCTTCTCAAGATATTCTCGTGCCACGTCGGCGTTGAGGGACGAGACCATTTGTGATAGTAGTCCAGAGGATGTCGAACTCCCTGGTCTAGCATTGAGAACTCCAGATCCAGATAACACTCCTGATGTAGTCTGAGAAGCAATACCGGACGTTGAAGCACCTTCATTTGAAGTAGTTGAGCCCACAGATTGTGGCAGAACCTTCTTATTGCTTCTCTTGGATAATTTTCCATTGATACCTGCGTGTTCCTTTTCTCTCCCTTGTTTTGAGAATTCTATGGTTTAGCACAAAAGAAGGCAATTACCATAACGTCAAATGAAAGCAAATCGATTACAGAATGCAACAATGAAATATATATTTAATAAGAATAATAATAGTCAACATGGAGAAGGACTACATATTATAGATGAAATGAAATTTTGTTCTCTTAGGAGGAGATATCTATTCCCAGCAAAATTTAATTTTCCTTTCTTTTCTGTTTTGATTTCAAAATTAAATCACACAATTGATATCAAATACTGACATGAAAATTACTAACGATTTCAGTTTCATCAAATTTTTTAAAATAATTTAACCATTCATTAAATATTAAGAAAAATAATGGTCAGATTCTAATTTTATTCATTTATTTAACCAATCAAAGTAAACAAATGTCTTAAATATCGTTATTAGCCAATATATGATTAATCACATGCTATTTGAATTGATAGAGTATATACATTGGCAATTGAAATAATCTTTTGATGAAATTAAAATCACACAAACAAAATTTTTGATGCATTTGATTGAGATGATTAAATGATCTAAGAAGTATGCATGCTATTAATTTTAGTGATGGTCAAGGAAGATCTTCTACTTAAAGATCATAATTCAAATAAAAATCTCTCCATCAAGCCATCTGTTTCGGTCATACTCATCATTTATTTTCCCCATTGCTCAGTCCATCAACTTCAAGCTCTATGAATTTCAATTGGTTTTGTATGGTAAAAGTACTGCATCACAAGTCAAGTTAGTGGCACCCCTTCCGGCTTTACACCAATTCCTTTAGCTTATTCCGTGCTACACAGCTTGGAAAATCTTCTTAAAAAAGATTGGACCTCCTACAACTTCCGAGCAAGCCTTAGGCTGATCTAAGTCGAGATTGGCTATATCCAAATAGTGTGGATACAGACGTGCGAATCAATAGCAATCTTTTCTTTTGTAGATGGTGGAGATTTCGGGTTTCAAAATGGTTCTAGAATTAGTTTTGGGGGTGAATTTGAGGTTCAAGATTATGGGAATAATAATAAACAGAATAAGATTTTGATCTAACTTGTTCAAAAGAGAGAGGAGAGAGCTGTGAAAAGGTTTTGATCCTTTTCAAGGACGAAGGTGCCAATCACAAAGAGGCTAATCAAATGAGAGACAGACACTTGAAATTACAGAAATATCTATAGAGAGAAAAGAGAAACCAATAGATAAGAGGAGGGTTTCACAAATTCTTTATGCTCTTGTAAAGTACGATAGAAAGAGAGCAGAAGTTTAAATCTATTCTAACAGAAAAAAAGAAAGAGAGAGAACCTGGGAGGAAAAAATTAAGATAGGCAATTGATAAGTTGATTAAAATTCGATTAAAATTCGAGAAAAGTGTCGAAATGATCCCCTTTTATACATGTGCCAAATTAATCTCCATATTATATTAATGTTACCTGAAATAGTCCCTGAAAAGGACTATTTTAGGCCTCATAAAAAAGGTCTAGGGACTAAATTGACACATTGGACTAAAATAGCCCAATATAACTAGTCAAGAGACTATTTTGACATTTTACTCATTACAATTTTAACTAAGTTTATTGAAACGAGAGGAGTTTACTTCAGCACAAAAGTTGTTAAAGGGAGTTTTTTATAAAAGAAGAGACATTAAAGATTATATATCAATAAGAGAAAAATTAAGAATTAAGAAATTAATAATAAAATAAAAGTATGCGAACAGAGCATCAGGCTTGAACATAAGCCATGAAACCTACAAATTCTCATTCAATGACGAACTTTATGATCGAATGTCCTTTCAACCCTACATAAATGCCATTAAGCTAGATAAATAGAAGTATCATCAAGAATCTCATGGTAAAATGAAACTAAAAAAAAGGCAGCACTTGTCAAAATGATGATGTTATATAAACAGATCCATCCATTTTGCTTTTTTATCCTTCCACAACAACAGCTTCTCCCATTATTTTCTAGTTCCCGCTACTCTCACCATTTATTGTTTGACAAAGTAGACCAAGGATCAAATTTCACAATCTTTCATTTAGTGACACAATGGATATAATGGTGATTAAGGTAAAATTTGATGGTAAGAATTTTTATTTGGTGTTAGGGGTTTTGATACAGACCAACGGAGGTGATTTAGGGCTTAAAATGCTTCAGAAAATGGAGATCCAAAACTAGCTAAACATATACTAAGAGTTGGTTACATGTTTGATTTTTTTGGAGCTTAAAAGAGGTTGGCATGACAAGATATGGATTCTTTGAAAAGTTAAGAATAATAGCAAAAAGAAATTGGAGTCATTTAGGTTAATTATGTGAAGCCTTTGGTGTAGCGAGTGTAAGGACGTTTGGCTGACTAACTTTAGATATAGTTTGGGTAGCTTGGATATTTTGTAAAGAACTTAGCGAGAAGTTTCAGAATACTCAAAGGAAATGTACGGATGAGGGAAAAAAAAAAAGGAAGCGCATGAATCAAATAAAAATAACGACTATTAAAATTCTTACCAAGAAGGATATCCATGATCACCAAACTAAAAATAAAGGTTTAGCTACCATGTTTTCCCAAAAGAGAAGGTAAAATTTGTACAAAAAAAATTCTATTCACTTACAACATCTTTTCCATACTTATTTTAAGATATTTATAAACATTACATATAATTGGAAGACAAGAAAAAAAGGATAAACCAATTATAATAAATGTAAGTTAGTGTTGACCTCATTTTTAGTGAGGTCTTAGTCTCCTACTCTTAGAACCTAGGATCTAGCTTTAGGAGTTCTTATTGACCATCATAGCGGACTAGAGATGGAGCCTACCTCCCGCAGAACTTCAAGCCACTTCTTGACTCATTTTTGTAAAGAACTCGCATGAGTGGTTCCAAGCACTCAACTTCTAGTTGCAAAGGCTGAAGACCAACATGTAGAGGGCCCGAAAATGAGTTCCCATAGGATCATATGACCATAGGTGAACCCTTTGTGACTCGATTACTCACGAACGCCGCAATTCATACACTCACTGCACCACACACGACTTTGACTTGAATCGACTCGTCCGTCGGCAAACTCGTCTGGACGACCCCGGATGACGAAAAGGACCGCACGAATGCTTCCAGGATGTCGACTTTAGCTAGGAAAGACATTCATATTGCTGTGGTTCCACACTCGCGCGAACTGCACGAAAATCGATGCACATTTCTTTTAATTAGCGGCGTGCGATTAATTAGCGGCGTGCGAGCCCATACTCCGCCCAGGTCCGACCCGGGTTCAATTCAGGCTGCACGGGCTAGTCACTTCAGCTCAGAAATTTCAAAATGCAAAATTTAAATTTCAAATTTCTCATTTAATCTCCCCCATAAAGCTTTTCCAATTAAGTTGGCTGCCAAAAAGGAAAACATTCAATCTCCCGCCAATTGCTTCGCACAACGGCTATCGAACCGCTCCTTCGATTAAATTTGGCCCGGCTGCTATTCTAAAAAAGGAGAGAGCGCATTCTTCCTCGGCGAGGCTTCCTCCTCTGCCCATTCCCGAGCGCCTGGTCTTGCTTCTCCTCGATCTCGCTCGACAGAGACCCTGGCCTCACTACTCGCACTCGACTGAATACTCCCCGCTCGACAGAAACCCCGTTCGACACTTGCTCCGCTTGACCGCTCGTCTGCTCCTGCTTCTCCTCGATCTCGCTCGACAGACTCCCGCACTCGCCTTCCTCTCTGCGCCGAAGAAACCCATTCCTCGCCGCTCGATCCCGCCTTGCCCCGAGATCGCTCGAGTCGTCCCCTTCCACTTTCTCGACAGAAGTTCAGCACCGAAGCTCCCACTCCACCGAAAACCCACGCTCGCCTCTCCTTCTCTGCGCCGAGGATCTCGCCCGACTCAAACAAAACCCTCACCTGCTTGGCCGACCCAACTTCACCTCCTTGCCAGCGATCTCATCCACGTTGGTGATCCCTTCCGCGGCTTATTTCCCATTCCTTGCCGTGCTCTCGCCGAAACAGCGTCAGATGGGTTGAATGCCGCCGAACAGAACGAGTCGTTCGTCTCCTTCTCCTGTACGTTTCTTTCTCCATCGATCGGAGCTCGAGGAGGCCTCGCTCGACTCCCCCCCAACGACAGAAGCCCTCGCTCGCCTCACGTTTCAAAGCGAAGTTCCTGCTCGGCTCGATTCTGCTCGACAGGAAGCTCACTTCCCTCCCCGTCGAACAGCTGCTTCGTTGTCTTTTCCTCATACGACAGAAGTCGTTCGGCCTGCCTCGCACCGCTCTATCCCGTCTTCCTGTTTACGCAGCAACAGCCCTGCACGACTCCATAGAAGCCAAAACTGTTGTTCCCGCTGTTTGATACAACCCTCACAACCTAGACCAACTCCTCCTTCCTCCTCTTCTTCTCCAGCGGGCTTCGGCCAGGTATACCTCTTCCCCTTCCTCTTTATTCTTTGCAGCGTACACGACATAACAAGAGTTACATACTTACCACTCAATCCAGTGTATTCACTTGCCTAACACCTAAACTGCAGTTTTATGGATGATTTTGGTATTATTTTTAGATTATCTTGCTTAGATTTATTATGGATGATAAATTTTGCCAATTCATGAATTAATTATGTGCAAAGGGGAACTACTCTTTGGCAAATATTTAGTGTTGAATTATATCATGATTAATGATTTCAACTTAACCGTTTGATTTATTATTTACAATCTATTAATCTTTGGTATTTTCAACTATTTGCCTAATGATTTTGACAAATACGAAACCTACGGCTTTATTTTCCAGTTTAGTTATTGATACCAGTCTTATGCACATTGATATGTTAAAGTATTGGGGGCATTTACATACCTACCGCACAATTATTATGGATTTACATTTCTAACACCTTAAGTTTTGATCCCTCTACATACACATCTTTGCGCACACGTGCTAGAAGTCGTATCGATGTTGTTTTGACATGACATGAAAGATTTGGGTGGTATAAATGTAAGAATTAAAGTCTAGTTTGGAGATATGTTAACGCATAGGAATTGTGGGGTTTGCATG